TTTTTTAGCTCCCACTTATGAGAGAAGACATACAGTATTTCTCTGTCCTGGCTTATTTCACTTAACATAACTTTCTCTAAGTTCATCCATGTTGCTACAAATGGCAGTATTTCATTCTTTTTTATGGCAGAGTAATATTGCATTGTGTATATGCCACATTTTCCTTATCCAGTCATCCGATGATGGACATTTAGGTTGGTTCCAACTCTTGACGATTGTAAACAGAGCTGTGATAAACATGGGAGTGCAGGGATCCCTTCAACATGATGATCTCTATTCCTTTGATATGTACCCAGCAGTAGAATTGCTGGGTCATATGGCAGTTCTGTCTGTAGTTGTTTGAGGAACCTCCATACTGTTTTCTATAATGGCTGCACCAATTTACAGTCCCACCAACAGTGTAGGAGGGNTTGATAACAGCCAGTCTAACTGGAGTGAGATGATATCTCAGTGTGGTTTTGATTTGCATTTCCCGATGATGAGTGATGCTGAGCATTTTTTCACGTGTCTGTTGGCATGTGTATGTCTTTGAGAAATGCCTGTTCAGCTCCTTTGCCCATATTTTAATCAGGTTGTTTGTTTTTTTATTGTTAAGTTGTTTGAGTTCCTTGTATATTCTGGATATTAATCCTTTGCCAAGTGCATAGTTTGCAAATATTTTCTCCCACTCTGTAGGTTGTCTTTTCACCCTGTTAATTGTTGTTTTTTTTGGGGTGGGGGGTGTTTGTTTGTTTGTCTGTTTTATTGCTGTGCAGAACCTTTTAATTTGAGATAATCTGATTTGCTTATTTTTTCCTTTTGTTGCCTGTGCTTTGGGGGTCATATTCATAAAGTCTTTGCCCAGTCCTACTTCCTGAAGTGTTTCTCCTGTGTTTTCTTTTAGGAGTTTTATGGTTTTCAGGTCTTATTAAGTCTTTAATCCATTTTGAATTGATTTTGGCATATGGTAAGAGATGCAGGTCTAGTTTCATTCTTCTACCTGTGGATGTCTGGTTTTCCCAGCGCCATTTACTGAAGAGGCATCTTTTCCCCAATGTATGTTCTTGGTGCCTTTGTCAAAGACCAGTTGGCTGTTAAGTATGCGGGTTGATTTCTGGGTTCTCTTTTCTGCTCTGCTGGTCCATATGTCTGTTTTTATGCCAGTACCATGGTGTTTAGGTCACTATAGCTTTGTAGTATAATTTGAAGTCAGGTAGTGTTATGCCTCTGGCTTTATTTATTTACTTATTTATTTTTTTGCTCAAGATTGCTTTGGCTATTTGGGGTCTTTTGTTTCATATGAATTTAGGATTGTTTTTTCTATTTCTGTGAAGAATGTCATTACCATTTTGATGGGGATTGGGTTGAACCTGTAGACTGCTTTGGGCAGTATGGACATTTTCACAATGTTAATTCTTCCAATCCAAGAGTATGGACTGTCTTTCCATCTTTTTGTGGCTTCTTTAATTTCTTTCAGCAGTGATTTGTACTGTCACCACTTGTGTTTAACACAGTATTGGAAGGGAAGTACTAGCCAGAGCAATCGGGCAAGATAAAGAAATAAAGGGCAGGGTATGAAGACTGGAAAAGATGAAGTCAAATTGTCCCTGTTGGCAGATGACATGATCCTATACATAGAAAAGCCTAGACTCTACAAAAAAAAATCTTAGAGTGGATAAACAATTTCAGCAAAGTTGTAGGATACAAAATCAATGTGCAAAAATCAGTGGTGTTTTTATACTTCAACGATGAACTAGCAGAAAAAGAAATCAGGAAAGCTAACCCATTTAAAATCATCACCAAAAAGATAAAATACCTGGGAATAAAGTTAACCAAGGAGGTGAAAAATCTCTGATGGGTTTTTAGAAGGTCCTTGGAAAGAGTTCTTGTCTCACCAGTGTTCACAATTGGTTGGTTTGCATTTGAAAGTCTCGCTTGCCAGCAGGTGAGTGTTTGCTGTCTTGGGAATTGGCTGGCCCCAGCAGGGACCGTCCCTCCAGGTCAGCAAGGCCCCAGATGTCACAGCATCAGAAATGCAGGCAGTAGACAAGGCTCGATGATTGCCCCCTGGCAGGTGGGTGTGAGGGAAAAGACACTGGTCCCCCACCCAGCTTGACAGGTGCCACTTGTGTGATGAAACAAGACAAAAATGGAAGTTTCGTGAGCATCTGTTTCCTCACACTCAGAACAGAGCAACAAGTCCTACCTAACCAAGTTGTCACGCATACCCAGTGCAATCCTGCCCGTGCTGGTGCTCAGCACACGGGACAGCCCTGCCACCTTCCTTCTCACTGGGGCACCCCCCCCCCCAGTGCACACACATGCACAAGTACACGCACATGCAGATAGTGCCTTATTAGATTTGTCCATCTCATGGTCCTTGCTGAGACTCGGCTTTGTGCCAGGAGGCCTGTGCTGGGGACATTGTGATCAACTGGTTGACAATTTAATAACAAGGTCATTACTGGGCTGGCCCGTGGCTCACTTGGTAGAGTGCGGTGCTAATAATACCAAGGCCACGGCTTCGGATCCTATATAGGGATGGCTGGTTAGCTCACTGGCTGAGCGTGGTGCTGACAAGGTCATTACAGAGAGCCCTGAGAACAGCAGCAACAGAAACAGAAAATGACAAGGAGGGGACAAACTAGCGGGCCAGGCAGCGCCACGCTGTGGAAATGACATTGATGGTGACACCTGGCACCTGACGAGCCAGGGGGAGAAATTTCCCTTCAAAGAAAATAAAAGGTACAAAGTTCCCAAAGTTCCAGAGGTGAGAAATTGCTCAGATGTGTTCTGGGAACTGCATCAGGCCAAGGGGAGGGAGAGATGACAACAGAGAAGAGTAGAGTGGCATTTCTCTGGGAGGGCCTGCTGGTGCTGTCCTGGCAGGGCATGGACTTTGTGTTCTGCCCCTCATCATAGATGTGGAGGACAGAGCATCTAAGACCCTCTGAGTGCCATGCTTCCCGCAGAGACTTCCCCCTGTGTGGAGTATGCATAAAGCAAATGTACTTCACAGGGCCTGGTTTTCCAAAGCCTTGCANAGGCCCCAGATGTCACAGCATCAGAAATGCAGGCAGTAGACAAGGCTCGATGATTGCCCCCCAGCAGGTGGGTGTGAGGGAAAGGACACTGGTCCCCCACCCAGCTTGACAGGTGCCACTTGTGTGATGAAACAAGACAAAAATGGAAGCTTCGTGAGCATCTGTTTCCTCACACTCAGAACAGAGCAACAAGTCCTACCTCACCAAGTTGTCACGCAAACCCAGCGCAATTCTGCCCGTGCTGGTGCTCGGCACACGGGACAGCCCTGCCACCTTCCTTCTCACTGGGGCACCCCCCCCCCAGTGCACACACATGCACAAGCACACGCACATGCAGATAGTGCCTTATTAGATTCGTCCATCTCACGGTCCTTGCTGAGACTCGGCTTTGTGCCAGGAGGCCTGTGCTGGGGACACTGTGATCAACTGGTTGACAATTTAATAACAAGGTAATTACAGAGAGCCCTGAGAACAGCAGCAACAGAAACAGAAAATGACAAGGAAGGGACAAACTGGCGGGCCAGGCAGCGCCACGCTGTGGAAATGACATTGATGGTGACACCTGGCACCTGACGAGCCAGGGGGAGAAATTTCCCGTCAAAGAAAATAAAAGGTACAAAGTTCCCAAAGTTCCAGAGGTGAGAAAGAGCTCAGATGTGTTCTGGGAACTGCATCAGGCCAAGGGGAGGGAGAGATGACAACAGAGGTCCAAAGAAGTGACTGTCACTAAAACCAGGACATAAGAGTAGAGTCTCTCTTTGTGGGAAGAGTAAACATGGGCTTCAGTGCAAATGCATTTTGACGTGTTTTGCACTGACTTCCCCGTTCATGGTAGCATCTGAGGAAGATTCTGAGCCCCGTGTAAAGCAAAGAGCCAGCTGGAGCCAGCTTCCTGGAGCTGACGCCAGCCAGGGTGTTGGCAGCATTTAGAGGCTTCTGGCTCCTGCTGAAGCTCGGGCCTTGTTGGATGAACCATGTCCTTGGTGGGGCAAAAGCCAAGACTGAAGAGCATCTGGCCTCCAAGTTTGCATTTGGGAAAGAAGAGGCCACAGGCTGGTGTGTCACCTCTTTTCTGAATCTCTGAACTCTGCTCACAGCCATGTAAATGAAAAACCACAAATGCTTACAGGTTCCCCAGGTGCAGCTCTCACTGCCTTGGAGCCCAGGCATCGCCACCTCCAGCCCTCAGGCCGGCCCCAGGGAAGCCCAGGGGAAGCCAGACTCAAGCAGCTGGGGGTCAGGAAGGCACATCACAGCTCACCCACCTGAGCACCCAGGTGCATCCCCCAGAGCAGACCCACCCTTGGTGCAGCAGGGCTGATGCAGCAAAGGGGGCAAACCCAGTCAGACATCTTAGCAAAAAGAGGGCTGGCCGGTTAGCTCAGCTGGTTAGAGCATGGTGCTGGTAACCCCAAGGCCCAGGGTTCGATCCCTGAACCAGCCAGCCACCAAAAAAGCAAAGAACGATGCGTGGATGAATGAGAGTTACGGGTCGGATTGTGTCCCCCCAAGTTTATATGTTGAAGTCCTAATTCCCCAGTCCCGCAGAATGTGACGTCACTTGGAGACAGGGCCATTGCAGATGTGATTAGTTAAAATGAGGCTGTACTGGAGGAAGGTGGGCCCTAATCCATATGACTGGTAATGTTCTAAAAAGGGGAAATTTGGACACAGAGACACGCACACAGGGGAACGCCATGTGAAGACTGGAGTTCTGCTGCTACAAGCCCAGGTACCACCAGCAGCCAGGAGAGAGGCCTGGGACAGCGCCGTCCCTCACGCCTTCAAAGGGAATGGGGCCCAGCCAACACCTTGATCTAAGACTTCCAGCCTCCAGAACTGTGAGACTTTAAACATCTGTTACTGAAGTCACCTAATTTGTGGCACTTTGTCCCAGCAGCCCTGGGAAACTAACACAGCGGTTGGTTTAAAGCCTGGGATGACTGCAAAGGCCTGTTCTTGAATCAGTTTTGGGCTCTGATTCTGACAATCCAGTGACACACCTGTCTCCCAGCGTTTGGCCCTGTCCAGGTCCAGTCTGTGGACTTGACCCAGGTGTGGTTTGTTTTCCTTTGAAGGCCAAGTTGAGTTCTAGAGAACCAGTTCCTCCTTGTCCTGGCGGTCTGCCGCCTCGAGGGACTGCCCAGGGCAAGCTTGCTGGCTGCATGGACGGCCGTCCCAACATAGCCCCGGAGGCTCCTCTGCCAGCTGCAATCATTCACCATGCTGGGGCTTTGCCCTGACTTGGGCACTGGTTATCAGACCAAGCTTCCAAGAAGAAACCCCTGGCAGCACAGAAACCTAAATTCTCTCTTGTCAGACACCCTAGGAGAAGCTAAGAGCAGTCGAGAAATTACTGTGCGTGGCTTCTGTCCCACCCACTTTCAGAACTCCAGACTCCCATCCCTGTGAAAACGGACAGCACCAGCGACAGCCGGCAGGTGCTAGGAGCTTCCTATATGGGACCATAATGCGTGTTCCACTCCACTGTAAGTGCATTATTTGGTGATGAGAGGTCATCCTGCAGATGTAGGGGGAGGAGGCCAGGGCCAGGAGGACCAGCAGGAGTCCTTTCTGGTCATCCTCTCTCCTCCAGGCTGGGCCCCCTTGCCAGGACTCCCGCAGCCATGCAACCCAAAGCCGTTGTCCACCCTTCCTCTTCCTGCACGTTCTTGAGCCAGTTAGTCGTGAGTTCTGCAGTTTTCCCTCTGCAGCATCACTGGGACTGTTCCTCCTGGTCCATGTCCTTTGCCACCGTAGTGGTCAGCTTACACCTGGGTCATTGCACAGTCCTCCTGGCTAGTCTCCCTATTGCTAACTCGCCCAGTCCTGGACTCAGCCAGGGCTGCAGACACACTCAGAATCACTCCAAATCTTTTTGTTCAGTCCCCACAGTGAGGCTGAACTCCTTGCAAACAAGGACAACGTCATGCCTCTGGGTCCTGCACGGAGCCTTGTCTTGGGCCCCACACACAACAAAAGAGCCATGATGACAAGTTCCCTGACCTGGGCCACGGAGCCAGCATTGCGGGTCTAGCACGGAATGCAGTAGTCACTCAGCCACACTCTGGAGCCCCTATGCTGAGTTTACATCCCAGCTCTGCTGCTTTAATCCCTGTCGCCTTAGACAAAACCACTTAACCTCTCTCTGCCTCAGTCTCTTTGCAAAATTGGCATAGTAATAGTAGATAAAGCACTTAGCATCATATGCTGTATGTAGAACAAACAAATCACAAAATAGTGCAAAGCCTATGTAAATAAATGAAAGAATGAATGAATGAATGAATGAATGAATGAATGTCGGTAAATAGAATCTTCACAAGCTGATTTCTCAGACAAGCTGCACTCATGAAAAATATTTGACAGCATGTGAAACCAGACTCCTGAGCAGAGGCCCCAGCAACACAATAATGGTGATGTCACACTTCTCACTGTGTAAGAGATGCAAAAAAGATGACTCAAAGCAGCGTGAATGCAATGAGAAGTCCGAAGGGACCGCACCTCAGCAACTCCTCTGTTAGAAGGAGAAACTGGGTACAGCCCGGATTCAAAGTTAGCTTCTGTTTTATTGTAAAGACAAGGAAGTTTCACAAGAAAAGTTATTTGATTCAATCATTTCAAAAGAACACAAAAACATGGGCAACGTGACAAAAGTTATCTACAGCTAAGTATAGCTTAAACAATGGAAACTTGTACCATCATTTAAATTAACAACGTGACATTCCAAAGTATGATTTGTGGAAAGCTAAGTTGATCAAACTGTGATCATTATCTAATCTAAAATATAACCTTTCCTTAAATGATTTAAGCAAAAGTTGCATTCTTATGATTAAATCTAAGTATAATTGTCTCTAAAGTTTCCACCAACAAACAGCTTGCCCTTAGCAAATGTTTTTTCACATTTTTCCCTACAGCAATTCTTTCAACATCTTTTAACAACAATCAGTATGTTAAATAATCAAAGTACATGATCCCATCCCTAAACAGTGATTAGGGTTGATTAGATGGGCCATTGCCCTCTAGCTGTAGGCTTTTGCCTCCTCGCCAAGGACTTTTGTCCCATACATGCATTACCTAAAAACCCTATCTAAAAATCAACTGAGATCAATGTATACTTGGTTAGAATTGATTAGATAGGCTCTTGCCCCCTAGCTAAGGACTTTTGTCCCACAAGTTTTTTAGCTAAAGAGCCCTGTCTAAAAATCAAATGAGAATCAAGATTTTTAACTCTATACATGGTGAAGCACAGCGTAGAGTCTGCTTGCTGGAACATTCCGTCCATATGGAACTGCTCAGACTTCATAGTTGGGGACTGAAGCCAGCTTGAGAAGAGGGTGGTAAGTTCCCCAAACTGTCTTGACGTCTCATCACCAAATAATGTAGTCACAATGAGTTCAAACACACATTTGTTAGGTTCCATGTAGGAAGCTCCTGGTGTCTGCGACTTCATTCAGGGTTAAGGGTTTCAAATCTCAGTGAGACTCTTGCTCCCTGAGGGGCCCCAACTGGTCTGGTCTCTGTCTCCTCTAGTTGTCAGTAAACATTTATTGATCGACATTGAAATAACTATTTTAGGGCTGACCCCGTGGCTCACTCGGGAGAGTTTGGTGCTGACAACACCAAGGCCACAGGTTCGGATCCTATATAGGGACGGCCGGTTTGCTCACTGGGTGAGCGTGGTGCTGACAACACCAAGTCAAGGGTTAAGATCCCCTTACCGGTCATCTTTTTTAAAAAAAAAAAAAAAAAGAAATAACTATTTTAAAATAACACCATTTCACTGGAGGAAAAATGCAAAAAAGCGTATTGTCAACGCACAGGATATCTCTGGAAGGTTACTCAAGAAACTGGTAATGGTGTGTCTCTCAAGAGCGGTGAGCTGGGAGACCAGAGGAGGCATGCTTCTTACTGTATGCTCTGTGTGCCTTTGGAATTTTTACCAGGGGGAGATAGGACCTGTGCAAGAAAATAAAATTCACAAAAAATAGCCATCTTGGCACATAGTCTCGATACCAGGACCACTCTGCTCCTGGCTCAGCTTGCTAAAATTTGTTACCAGGCACAGGTCCAGCTGCCTGCCCCCTTTCAAAGGCAAGCCATTCAAAGTCAAATGTTGGTGAAAATGGAAGTCAGCTTTTATTCAGGAATACCGGTGACCTGAGGAGAGATGTCAGGCACATCCATCCCTCCAGTAAACCCGACAGAGAAAGGCCAGCCAAAGCCATCTCCAAGACTCAGATTTACTGAGGGGTGTCTAAAGAGGGGGCTGAGGGAATGGAACGTGGGAAATGAAAAGCAGGAGGGGGGGTGTGAGCAGCTTGAGGCAAGGTCTCTCTGAGGCTCTGTCTGGTTTCTGCTCTGGTCCTTACTGTTATCGTAGGGTCCTGCTGGAGGGTGGAATCTGCACACGTCTACTGATGCCTTCCTTGGTTTCCCAGGGTCTGTATAGTACATGTCCTGTGGCAAGTTTGCAGCTCCAGGCTGACTGGAAAACAACTTTGCATTTATGTAAATAATGTCATCTTGCCCCATGACCGAGGTTCAAAATATCAAATAACCATGGGGAAAGATAGAACTCAGAGAAATGTGTGCCAAGAAAAAAACTGTCTTTTTAAAAACTTACCTACAGCCCATGAGGTTTTAGGTCCCAACATGGCTTCAGTCCTGCTTACTCCAGCAGTCTCAGATTAGAATTCACAGGAGCTCTGTGCAGAGGTGCCTGAAAATCCCACGCAAAGCATAGGCAGTGAAGAAGAGATAGCTGTGCTGGGCAGCTCATGCCCCCAACAGCTCTCAGCCAGGGATGTGCTGGAGCTGGAAGGTTGACATGGGACACCCTGCCCCTCAAGTGGCCTGCAGGGAGGCATGTGCTGCTATGTCTCCCAGGCGTTCCCACTGGGACTGGGCCTCAGCTGCCGAAATTGGTGACCTGCCCAGTAATTCACTCAGTCTTGCTTTCCTGTCCTTCCCTGTTTCACTCCCCCCATCACCCACCTGCTATGGGTGGGGTGTCCCTTCCAAAGCTCATGTGGAAGCTTGATCCCCAATGTGGCGGTGTGGAAAGGTAGAGCCTTTAAGAGGAGATTGGATTGTGAGGGCCCTGCCCTCGTGAATGGATTAATCCACTAATGGGTTAATGGATGAATGGGTTATCATGGATGTGACTGGTGGCTTTATATGGAGAGCACATGAGTGCACTCTTGCTTAGCCCCTGTGACACCCTATGTTACCAAGGAACTCTGTAGAGCCCCCACCAATAAGACCCTCAACAGATGCACCCCTCAACGTTGGACTTCCCAGCCTCCCAAACCGTAAGAAATAAATTATTTTTTTATGAATTACCCAGTTTCAGGTATTCTGTTATAAGCAATAAAAAACCAATACACCACCCATAGGCCCTAGGATCATCTCCCAAATCCAATACTTTCACCCAAATCCTTGTCC